ATAGATGCCATTATTATCTTTTAAGGATGACTTGACTGAGACACAAAAAAAATTAACTTGTCCAGGGTATAATAAAGCTATTATTTTCCATTTACACTATATTTTTCTATGTATGGGCATTGCAGTTCAACTCTGATAACAAGTTCAAAGTTTCCCAAACAATACTTTACCTTGAAGTGTCTATCTTACTTGAAAAAGTACTACAAGCATTCATAAACTTGAATGTAGAAGAATTAGTTTATAAACTCACCAATATCTCAAAATAAATGTAATCAGACATGTTTTTAGATTCCACTAATTTTATACCATACTATGAGATTCAAAAAGAATTACTTTTACTCTTAAAGTATCATTACTTCATCATCTTTGAATATGCTAATCAATAAAATGGATTCTGTAAGTGAGTAGGAAGGTAAATGCATGTTAATTATCTCGCATGTCTTAATTGACTCCTATTGCTAATGATACAGCAAATAAGGTTTAAATATCTTGTAGAAGATACATCAGGTTTTTATTGGGACATATTGCTGAGAAGCACTAAAATTCAATTAAATGGGCAGGTTTAAATCAAAATTCTAATCTCGATGTTAAAAACAATTAAAACTACGGTTTTTGATCTTAACATTTCTCTCTGTCTCTGTCTCTCTGTACACACACACACACACACACACACACACACACACACACCTGCTTCTGAATACCTGTTCCTTTCCGGTCTCCGCTGCCATGCCCCTCCGAGCACCAAGATGTACACTGTGGTAATAATCACTCTGGAAGTGCTTGAGGATACTCATTAAGCACCACTAATGGAGTTCACCTCCCATGCAGTTTTTCAACCTGCTTTGTTTCTGAACCCAGGAAGGGAAGTTATGGTGGTGCCTGTTGACCAACCTGGACCTGATGAGGACAACTGAAGAGACCAGGGTGGGTTGATAGAATCATTTCAAAAATGATCTGTTATAGCGGATTAAAAAAATGTCCACTACATTTAAATGGTGGCAGCAAAAATAGATGACTGGATCAAGAAGATGTGGTTCATATATACCATGGAATATTACTCAGCAATCAAAAAAGATAAATTCATGCCATTTGCAGCAACATGGATGGAGGTGGAAGGGATCATGCGCAGCAAAATAAGCCAGAAAGAAAAAGAAAAATACCGGATGGTCTCACTCATAGCAGGAATCTAGAAAACCTAAATAAGGGACCAGGAAAATGACTAATTATAATAAAGTAGTAAAATTCAAAATCAACAAGCAACTATAAACCAGAGACACACTACGGCGGAGCGTGGGGGGGACAGTGGAGTGAGTAGGATCAAAACAAGGGGAGGGTGGGAATTGTATGGAGATCTATAACCAAGATGAAAATGCATACATTGTGCAAAAATGAAAAATGATGTAAAAAATATATAAAATTTAAAAAAATTAACGGTGAGCAGACACCCACAGATGGAGCCTACTTTCCCTTTTCTTGAACCTTGGTGGTTAGTCCTGTGATTGGCTTTAATCAAGAGACTGCAACAGGACCTGCCTCCTGGTGCAGGGGTTAAAGTCTCAGCTCTACACTCCAGTTCTTGCATGCATAAATAAATAAAAAGAAATCTTAAAAAAAACAAAAGAGAGAATGCAACAGACAAGAAACTCTGTTACGTCCATGGCTGGGCCTTAAGAGTTCCATTAACTTCCACTTTCATACTCTTCGAATACAAAGGGTTGGATTATGAGAAACTCAAGTCACAGGGAAAGAAAACTGAGGCACCAGCCAACAGCTAACAACCAGTCAGCACCAAGAACCAGGTCATTGAGTGTACCATGGGGTGCCCATCTAGTGGACCTCCACCAGATGCCTACGTCTCCAGACTCGTACCCAAGACTCATACCCAAGATAGGAAAGAACCTCCCGGCCAACCTCACTCACCCCAAACTCCTCAGAGATAATAAATAGTAACTATTTTAACAGCTATGTATTTGAGGTGGTTTGTGATGCAGCAACATAGTCAAAGTTTTTCTAGACCATCTTAGAGACTCAGGCTGAACCAGGTCCTGCTTGACTCTGTTTCCACTCATGTGGAAGCACAACCCAGATCAGGACATTCTGTCCCAAACACGTCAGAGTGGCCGCCAAGGAGTCAAGAAGACCATCCAACAAAGGGCATGGAGGCCAAGCCCATGGACCTCAGAGACAGACTGACCAAGTTTGAAACTCAGCTTTGTCTTTTACTAGGTATGTACCTAGTAGAAGTTACTTAACTTGGGCCTCCCTGGTGGCACAAGAGGTTAAGTCTCAGCACTATGAAGCTATCCACAGCCTACCCACAGCCACTGTAGCACAAGTTCGATGCCCGGCCATGGAGCTGACCCACATAGCACAGTAGACCTCTTCTGTCTCCCGCTGCTCCCCTCAGCAGCGTATTTCAGTCAATCTGCCTGTTCTGCTCCCCACTCTGTCTCTGGTGAACCTTCTCATCCCCCACACCTCTGGCCTACACCCCAGCTCTTGTATGTATAAATAAATCTTTAGAAAAAAACTTACTTAACTTTTCTATGCTTCAATTTTCTCTTGCATAAAATAGATTACAAAATCCTCTACCTCTTAAGTTTGTTATGAAGATTAAGTATCAGTATCAGTATCTGTAAAGCAATTAGAACAGTGCCTGGCACAGAGTAAGTATTCGGTAAATGTTCTCTCTTAATATTATTATTTATTTGCTATTGTGTTCCACATCTGAGGATCTACCCGCTCGATTATGGGAGGGCTCCACACAGAGGGCAGAGGAAGATGAAAAGTGTAGGACGGGGCCAAACAGGCCTCCTATTTGCTTCTGCACCACGAGGAAATAGATCTCTGCCACCCATATAAACATGAATGTGATAAATGCCATCTCCACCTGACCTCACACCACAAGGGAAAACCAGAAGTCAGAGTATCTCTGACTTTAGTGCTCTCTTAGCCAGTCGTTCGTAACAGAAATGTCAGAAAATTTGTCAGACTTTATCTGGAATAAAGAACTCATACCTTGGGAACCTGATACTTGACTTCATTAAGACTGCTGAGTTTTCTATGTACATAATATAGTCCTGGGAAATGACTTTCTTAGGCATCATCTGAGCTATCATCATCACACTCATAGCAACCTTGTTTCTAAATATTATTTTGTACTTCACCGCAACATACAAATCAAGTTTTAAATCATGCCAGTATTTGAAGACGTCATAAAATTAAACCTAAATATAGTAGTGATACTGGGGAGTTAGATTCTGGCTGTTTTTTTTTTTTTTTTTTTTTTGCTTGTTTCATTGGGATTGTTCGGTCATATCACAGACAGTCTGGAGAACTGCTTTTGTTAAAATAACTAGTGAAAAAAATTTTCCAATGAAGCAAAACACGGTTTCATCAATTAATTTTGTTATAGGACTGAAATGACAAAATAGTTCCTTGTCTCTCCTCAGTTTTAAAATTATATCAAGGACCTGTTGCTATTTACTTCAAAGTTAACGACCCTAAATTAATTAATACATCTGACCACACAGCAACTCGTGGGGCTTTTTACTCCAGTGCCCCAAAGTTCCCCATTTCTCACCTCCACATATTTCCAGTCATAAAATTACAGTATTACAATGATGCTATTTATGTCCTGGCTTGAGGACATGGTTTCCTCTGTTTTCAAGACAAGTATGATGGATCCATAAACTGACACCTAAGTAGTTTCATCAGTTAGAGATTCGGGGGCAATGTATCCGTTTTGCGCCTCTCGTCAGCAAGGATCCAGCTCTCCTCCTCCTTAGTTATTCTTCTTTCCCAATTATTTTTAAGTCTCAGGTCAGCTTGAGAAAATTCCCATTTTTATTTTTTGCTTGCTCATCATGCATTAAATGACTATCAGGGATGCAAGTTAATAGCAAACTAGGTAAGGGATACACAAGTTAAAAACTCTGAAATTTAAAGTAATAGTGATTCAGTTTCCAGGTTCCCTCTCCAAAGACTAACATTTTACCTATTTCATACTCCTCAGTGCAAACTAAACCTGGTAGTCTAAATGGAAACTGGAAACTGGAAACACTAGATTTTATTATTTTCTGCCCCTCCTGATTTTTCAATTCCCTTCTCATTTTCCTCCCATTACTGCCTTTGCCTCTTCATCCTGAACCCTACACTTCCATGTCTGCTCAACTTCCTCTCCATCTCACTACCAGAGCGCCTCAATTACACACTATTTTGCTTTGGTTTAAGATGTCATTCTTAATATTTTATATTTTACATTCCACCAGTGTGTTTATAGAACCAGAGTCAGATCCACCATGGGGAAAAATTCTGTTTTTCAAGGATATTTGTAGATTTATTGGGATTATATTATGTGATTATATGTAAAAGTGCAAGTATATATATATAATTTCAGTACTATTATTGATATTAACTGTTGACACTACTTCTGCATTCACTATGTAGTGAAACAGGAAAATAGAGAGTAGTCAAAATTTAACCACATTCGAAAAACCTCATGAAAAAGAAAACCTGTGTAAGTGAAAAGGGTCCAGATTAGAACTCAGAGGTTCAAACAAAGTTTACAGACTAGCAAAGTTTTGCTTTACTAGAATCTATTTTCCAGAAATAGAGCCCACTCAGGGCTTCAGTGCTTAAATTAACAAAATACTAAAATAGCATCACATTCCTAATTAATAAAGTTGATTTCACTGGAGCACAAAACATTTACCAGATTGCCCTTTTACAAACAAAGATGAGTATAGTTTCCCCAATTAACAAATTAATAAACAATTTTAATAAAGTGTCTTTTGAGTTTCTCAGATAAAAAAAGTGTCACAGTTTTCTCAAAGTACATAAAAACCATGTAAAAATCTACAAATTCTAAATCTTGGTTTGTTTGTGATTTGCAAAACATGTTTTAAAGTAGCACAAGTAAATATCCTTAGTAATAACTAAACTCAGGTGCACTCATATTAAGCAAAATTATTTCAGGGAAAAAGGTCACAAGAGTTTACCTGACAAGGTTGTTTCATTTTAATGGCTATCACATGGTATCTGTAACAGCAGAGCTCGCAGGTCCAGGAACCCCTCTCACTGATCCACTTTAGCAGACACAGCTGATGTGTGTACCGAACGGACCCATCACATCGGCAAGGATTTAACAGCTCCCCCTGAAAAGAAAACAGCTCAGGATGAATGGTTATGTTTGTGTGCCTATTTTAAAAAATCTAACATTGGCTTTATTTTCTTTCAGAGCCGTCTACCCAGAAGTATACAAGCATTAACGCTATCCTAGAAAATGAAATTAATGTTTATACCTCTGATGGGAACACAACGAAAGTCTTTAAACTATTTCAAAGACGTTGCTTAGAGTTATGACATAAATGTCCTACCAACATACAAAATGTCTGCACGATATAGCTCCCAATACCCTGGGGGGGAAGCTGTACTATTAAATCTCTTTAATAACTTTTAAGTGGATGGTCAGATGCATTTCCCCTGCAGTTATTCTTAATCATTGCTGAAGAAGAATCGCGTGGCATCCCAGAAAGTAGCTTGCAATAATAGCATTATGCTTTTATTTTTTCTAAATTAGCATCATAAATATTGACTTAGGGCGCTGTACTCCTGAAAGCCTGCATATTCCTATGCAATTTCCTTTCTTTCAAAAATATTAAACCTAATGTCGCCTCAGACCACACATTTCGTGAGAAACAGATTATCCTACTGTCTGCAGGGTTCCTTGCATGTAAGTTTGTATGCACTTCTCATGGAGTTCATGATTTTAGACTTGGATTTCCAACAAAACAAAGTACACTGCTGACTATACAGACTTTCTTTCCCAATGCCAAAGCACATCCCTACTTCTCTGGCAAAAACCCGCAACACCCTTTTCACCTCAAGGAGCTAAGTCACCAGAAACTGCAAGAAGCAAAAAACCACCGTGCCTTGACTGGTCTGAACAGAACCTCCCCCCGTTTGCAGCCTAGGACTCTCTAGTCTGGGAATACATTTGCACAAAAAGGAACGTAGATATTCTTGTAATCATAAACCAAAATCCACCGAGAAATCCACACGCAAGTGATACTCAGGGCGTTATCCTGAAAGCACCTGAGGAATGTGGAAGAGCAAAACCAGGTAAGGGGGAAGGTGTGGCACAAATCGCCCTCCGCACTCGCCCCCGGGCCGCGGGGAGCCGCCTTCTCGGGCAGGGCGAGAGGCGCACCCCGCAGCCCTGGCGTGGGGCGCCGGGGCCCGGGCTGGAGCGCGCCGGGCGGGCGGGCGCTGTCCGTGGTGCTGAACCGGCTCCGCGCCCCGCGCCCGCCCGCGCCCCCGCGGCCTCACCTGCTCGGCGCCCTGGAAGCAGATCTTGCAGATGGGCTGGTGGTGCTGGTGCGGGTGCCCGGCGCGCTGGTCGCCGCCGCCGCTGCTGCTGCTGCGGCTGCTGCACACCGAGCGCGTCTCCGGCTGGTCGCCCGCGCCCCGCCGCTCTCCCTCCCGGCCCGCGCCGGCCTCGGGCTCCCCGGGGCCGCCCTTCCGCGCCGCCGCCTCCAGGGCTGCCGCCTCGGGGGGGCGCCGCGGACCCTCCCCGCAGTCGCCGGCCGCCGCCACCTCCTGCCCGGAGGGCCGCCCCGGCGGCGGCGGCGGGGGCAGCGCGTCCGCGCCCCTGCGCCGCGGGGGCAGCTCCGCCGGCGGGTCGCGCAGCCCCGCGGCGCGCTCGGGGCACTCGGGCGGCGCGGGCAGCGCCGGCGGGTAGCGCTGGGCAGCCGGGGCCGAGCCCGGCTCCGCCGGCGGCGGCGCAGGAGGGGACGCGGGCGGCCCGGCGGCCCCGGTCCCCGCCCCGCGGCCCCGCCTGCCCTCCAGGCTCATGGTGGCGCGGCCGCCGCCTCCGGCCGGCCCGGCTGGCGGGCGGGCTCCGCGGCGCCGAGGGAGAGGCGAGGGGAGGGGGCGCGGGGGGCGGCAGGAGGGGCCGGGGCGCCGGGCGGGGGGCGGGCCGGGAGGGGCGCGCAGGGCCCGGCGGCGCAGAGGCGGCTTCTCCCGGAGCCGCCGGCTCGGCTCTGATGGAGGCGGCGCGGAGCTCGGCTGCGCGTGAGAGCCGCGCCGCGGGGAGGCGAGGGGGCGGCGGGCGGGGAGGCGAGGCGAGGCGGCGCGGGGGGGCCGCGGGCGGAGGTCCGGGCGCGGGCGGCTGGGGAGGGGCGGAGGGGGCGCAGCGCGGGGCGGGGGCGAGGCCGGGGTGCGGGAAAGCGAGGACCGGCCGGAATTGGGGGGCTGGGGGCGGGGTGGGGGAATCCTGGAGACACTTCCACCGACCCCGCCCCAGGGCCGCGCACGTCGGTTCCGGGGCGGACTACCCCTCTCCGAGCGGCGCGCACTGCGGCTCCGGCGCGGGGGCGGGAGGGGGCCGGGGGGCGGGTCGGAGTCCGCGCGCCGGGAAACCGTTACCCCGAGGGCAGGTGGGGCGCTGCGGCTCCGGGCGGGGTGGGGCCGGGCGCCCGCGAGGGCGCGCTGAGCCCGCGGGGCAGGGGCGCGCGCCCCGGAGACTGTAACCGCCGCTGCCGGGCCGTGGGTCCCCACCCGCTGACCCTGTCGCTCAAGGGCACTCTCTGATCCACCAGAGCCCTGAACACAAAGTCTCGGGAACCCCTGTCCTCCCTCTGTGCGTCTCGCCCCTGAATCCGCCATTCGTCCTTCTGGCTCCCTCCCTCCTGCAGTGAGTATCCCGGTTTATTTGTAAATATCTCGGTGACATTCTGAATGTCTCAGGTCGTTCCCTGAAGTGCTTCTACCCCTGGAATCCTAGTGCCACGTTCTGCGGCGGGCGGTCACTTTCATCTGTGCCGTGCTCAGGGACTCAGGTGACCCCTCTGCGCCCTGAAAAGTGTCTGCAGCCTCGGATCTCGGTTTTACGCACCCCAAGTCCGTTTCTGTATAACTCCACTCCGAAGAACCTCTCTGTGACTCATCTTCTGGCAGAGCAACAATTCCCTCAGTTCTTTTCTGAAAATAAACTACCTAACCTGCAGGGAACTAGACGGCAGTACTCCCCAAATGCGTACAGTGTGAAAGCGCAAAGCGTTGGATGGCTACAAGGCACTGTCTGACCAAATCGTGATTTTCACTAGAGTAACACTTGAAGGTCTTTGAAGCACCTGACTAGCTCTCAGGACAGCGACTTGGGGGCTGCGTTTCATAGTGGAGGACCCAGGATCAGAAAGGCAAAGTAACTTGCTCAAGGTCACAGCACTGTTTGTTCACAGAGAACATTTAAGCTCCCAGATTTTCCCACTCAAACACGAAATAATTTTTTTCCACTCCTCTCTCCTGCCTCCTAAAAGTATTACAGTACAAGGTATATTTGGTGGCACTGACTCCCATTAATAAATGAAATGGATTAGATAAACTACCGGCTTAAGTTAATTTTTCCACTATCCATTTGGCAGCAAGTTACATATTAGATTTTTTTTTTTTTCTTAATGTCCCAGTTCTTTTCACAGAAATTGGTTTGGTCGCGAAGCAGCGAAAGAAGGTAGTAAAAAAGAATTCAAGAATGCTTTGTCACAAATGGCTGTGGATGAACTAGTTCCCAGGAATGTCCTCTACCACTTAGCCCCCTCAGACTAGCTTATTTTTGGAAGCAGATTGGCAGGCAGCGAGCACATTTTTTAAATAATAATCCCTGAATACCTTAGGAACTTATCACATTGAAGAAATGCTTTTGTAGATATGCTTTCATTTTGTCTTCACCTGTCAAAATGACATTGCACAAGTCTGTATAGTGCCGGTCTTAAAATAATCCTAAACCTTGATTCTGAATTCTTGAATGAGGTCTTTAAAAAATCTCCCAAATAATTCAATGCATGGCTGGTTCAGTTTTTAGCAAGTGTGATTAGTACATTATTATTTGAAGGACAACATAAAGCTGTGGGTCTCAACAGCAGAATGACTCAGACAGCAAAGTCACACGGCGCAAGAGGCCACCGTTGCTAGAGGTGTCCTTCCAGTTCACTGTTTTGGAAATAAAACTCTGGTCAGTGAAAATTAACTTTCCTTGATATGGTGAGTAACCACTAAAAGGATGATTCCCAGCTTCTCTGACCTCCAAAGCTGCCCTCTCCCTGCAAAGGGGAAGTCCTTGGTGATCTCTAGTTCACTTGTGAGTCTTCAGTGGATCCAGAGGAAATGCCTGTGTAGCTCTGACTGCATCCTCTGCTGTAAATATAGAGAGCCAGAAAGGAGGAGCCGCTCTCAGTTGCTGGCACCCAAATGGAAGAGGTGATAGAGCTCCAGACATCAGATAAAGAACAGCTGCAGGGCACCAGGAGCCGCTGACAACCGTCATAGGCTGCTGGGCATCCACCAACTAAAAAATGAAGGTGGTGGGGGCGGGGAGCAATTCTATCCATTTGAACAAATACTCAGACACATCCAACCTGTTTCAACAGTGACAATTAAAAAAATATATAAATAATATGAATGCTTGAAAGATCTCCATTGTCATGTCCTTCTTCACCCCTTACCTGCCCCCATACACACAGAGAGTGAAATGAACCCTTTACCAAAAGAAATTGTAATCATAGATGCCTTTTAAATACCTGAGATTTCCTGAGTTGACTCCAAGGATGGAGGAATAGGAGGGAGGGCCTTGGGTAAGTATATGGAGAAAGTTCTTAATGGGTATCTGTAGGAAATTCACCTAGAACTTCCCTGGCGACATCCCGGAGCTGTGTCCTGAAGTCTCCTGAGATTTCTAGATAGAAAAAAACGTAGGTGGCACTAGGTCAGAGTGATTTGAGAATGGCTTGGAAGCTACATTAGGTGCCAAGACCTTAACACACCTCCAACTAACAGCCTAGAGAGCTCTTGAAAGATCTTTTCCAGTTGTTTTACGTTTAACTATTAGTGATGTTCCAGAATTGTTCAGTTGACACCTCTGTGGTGTACTAGTTTGTCTCTGTGGTCATGAAATGCAATACTCAGAATTTTCAGTTGTCTTTCACTCTCGGAGAGAATAGAAATTAAGTACTCTATGTTCTGAACACTAAGGTTACCTTGTGCAGGTGGGAGGGTGATTTTTAAAGGATAATGAAGTACAATCTGTTTATTGCAAGTATTGGAGGCAGAGCGTGGCTGTTGTACATCAGAACTGAGACAGCGTCAGCAGATTACAACACAGTGTTGTGTGTAGACAAGTCCACAATCTGTATCTCTTATTCTAGCTTCTTCGTTGAATTGTTCTAACCTCATCTGTTAAACTGTCTACATGACTGCTGTGCGAAGCCAACTTCCGTCAAAAGACTTGGGACCTAGGAGTCAATGCAAACCACACGGGCCAAAAGCAAGCACCACCTTCCATTTGTTCCTTTGCCAATCTTCATTATTCAAGTAAACCCATTGTTCATTTACCAGTAGCTGATGGCAAAATTCTTGGAGTCATCCTCGACTTTTTTTTTTTTTTTCAGAGTATCCAAACATTCATTCAGATGTCCTTTCAAAATATACTATGCATTTCACTATGACATTTCGCCGCCATCCCAATTCAAGCCATTATCATGGTCACCAGGACTCAAAATAGCTCCTGTCACTTAATTCTTATACCAAATCCATCCCTACAACAGCTGGGATGATCCTGATCAAACAGAAGCCATAAATGCCACACCCCTGCCCAAGACGCACCAGTGACTCCCCATCACACTTTCTGCAACAGCAGAAAGCTGAGCTTCTGTAACCTTCTCTGAAAGAAAATCCTCTCCTCCCATTTTAGCTCTGAACCTTGCCCACTTTTATTTTTTCACTTTCCTACTTAGCAATACCTATTTACACAAGTGTGTATTTTGGTTACTTGTTTTCTCAACTAACACCTTCCACTTGGAATACTGGCTCCTCAGGAGACATCGTGTGTCCCAGTGCACAGGACCCTGAGTACCTGGTCAGTGTTTATTGAGCAAATATATGAATAATTCAGGCAATCAAGCAGGTAATTATTAATCAGCCTCTGTGTTTAAGGAACTGTGCAGATGGTTAACCAGCATTCCCAGGTGGGAATGCAATCTGTAGGATAATGAAGGATGCAGTCACAGCATTTCGGGGCTGCATGTGATGCAAATTATTTTTTTTCCATTGCTTAATATGAAATTATTCTGTTCTCTTAGTACTTTGTAGTTGCTGACTAATTAGTCATTTGCTACCACGGATAAATGAAGTCAAAGTCTTAAACTGACCTTAATCTTACATTCAACAATATCAGAAACTGGAAAAAGGCTACCTCTGGACTGAAAAGCAAGTAAAGGGGCCTCTCTGGTGGCACAAGGGGTTGAGATGCAACCTATGAAGTTGTCCTCAGCCTCTGCAGCACAAGTTCAATCCCAGGCCAGGGAGCTACCCACATGGCGCAACAGACCTCTCCTGTCTCTCCCGCTGCTCCCCTTAGCAGTGTATTTCAGTCGGTCTATCTGTTCTGCTCCCCACTCTGTCTCTGGTGAATCCTCTCATCACCACCCCCCACAACCCTGGCCTATACCCCAGTTCTTATATGCATAAATAAATATTTAATAAAAATAAAAAGCAAGTAAAGGAGTATGTTTGGATGGCCTCTACAATGCATCTCAGTGATCATCCATCATGTTCCTCTAGTATAAATGAAATTTTATACTAGATGGCTTTCTAACGTTTGTAGATTCTGCCATATGTTTGGCACCATTTTTTCCTTCACCCTTTCTCTTTAATTCCTGCATCTCTTCATTGTGCCCCATCTCACCGGCTCCTTCAGTCATAAAAGCTTCAAAATGGAAGCTGGGCAATCAGTGCTCTCTCTTCTTACTATGCGCCTTGATCTTCACTAACTTCTTTTGACCTGGAATTTCTTCAAGAATGTGGTATCGTCTATGAAAGTTTGCTGTAATCTAAACTGCATGAAAAGACCATCCCAATTATGAGATAAATAGCTTCCCAACCCCTACCAAAAGTGCATCCTCAACCTTCCCCAAAATGCCTTGGGACCATCAAAACAATAAAATAATTCCTTAAGGTCACCATTGATTTGTACAGGATCATACCACATTCCAAAAATTATTAAAAAATAACCACGTACTGGGACTCCCTAGTGGTGCAAGGGGTGAAGCACAGCACTATGAAGCTATCCACAGCCTCTACAGCACGAGTTCGATCCCAGGCCAGGGAGATGCCCACATGGCACAGCAGACCTCTCCTGTCTCGCCCTCTGCTCCCCTCAGCAGTGCATTTCAGTAGATTCGCCTGTTCTGCTCCCCACTCTGTCTCTGGTGAATCCCCTCACCCCCCCACACACCCCTGGCCTGTACCCCAGTTCTTGTATGCATAAATAAATAAATCTTTAAAAATAAATAACCAAGCACAGTGTTCTCCCTTGGTCTCCTCATCTTGACACCTGGATATGCAGAAGGACTTTGCATCTGACATCGTGAAGGCATAGAAACATGTTCAGTTATTGTATATACAGGATCTCCCAAGCCTGACCGCCATCTGGAATGTAATTGAATCAGCATGACCTGATGGGGGCACTCAGGCTCTAGAACGACCTTTAATAAAGCTGACCTGATTCCCCTTAGCTGAAAATCACCTACTTTTCTAACAAAACCTCATATCAGATGCAATTTAATGACCTTTATCTTCTGGTGGATAGATGTTAGACTAATTGGAATTTTGGA